ATATCTTACTATACCTTTTATTCATTCTTGGTTTCACAGACCTAATACTATTATGATAGTACTTATATATCAATAAAACCATTGATGATTTTGGTAATTGTATAAAAAGATATTAATACAAAATTTTTAATATAAAAAAAACATTTAGATGAATGAACACAAATATTTTCGAATTGTCATATGTTACTCAGTTTCATGTGATTAGCTAATTGCTATATTAATTACCGTATATGTGTGTGATGTACATCACACATACCTTTTCATTTAACCTTCATGAAAGAAGACGAAATAAGTACATATCCTGAAAACTCTTATATTGTGTTTAAAAGTTCTTATAGATCATAGGACTATGTAATTATAAACGAAGGAGTTTATCCTCCTTTACATCAACTTGCTTATACTAAAAAACCTGAACAATATGCTATTCCTGATCAGTATATTGTTCGCACAACATATGGAAAAAGGAAACATATTGCAGAATGTTCTATCTAGTATATTAATGATAAGCCATATTTCACAGTACAGTTTGACAAATACATGGTTTATTCAACAAAATCTTCATCAGATGTTGCAACTAAGTACTACAAGGTGAATACAATTAATTTTTTTAATAAAAATTTATTAGCATTAATAGTATTAAATTTAATATTATTGAAGGGTTTAAAAACATTAAAAAATAAGGGAACTTTGACAAGTGATGAAATCTAGGAAATAAATACAAACATAACTAATGAAAATGATAATAAAAAAAAAGGACCTTCAAATGTCAGATGTACAATTATTTGGATTACAATTAAATAGTGTTTATAAAGTTAGGAAAACATTACTATCCAATACCTATCTTAATGCTCAACCTTTTAATAATCTTAGCAATTCTACTCAACAACGTCATATGTTAACAATAGCCAAATGAGTATTTGATTCAGTTAAGGATTTCAAAAAAAATATTATTCATAATGATGATAAAGTTGAAATTAAGCAAGCACGTTTTACTGTAAATAATAAACCATTCGAAATTCACTATAGAAAATTTAATCAAAAAGATTTAGAAGACTTGCATTTAGCAGTTTTAAAATCATTAGATAAAGGCAAAATATCTCGTGAAGCTTATTGATCATTAGCACGCATTAATCAAGATTTGCCAAGAGATGGTGCAATTTCAAATACGTGTCAAAGACTTAATGAACAAATGAACAATTTAGTTCCTTTATCACTTATAAATATAGAACAATCTGCTATATTGGAACTAACAATAGATCAACCACATATTACAAACTTTGATATAGTTAATAATATAGTTGAATCTGTTGGAAAAGGTGGTCATCGTTCTATAATTGATCTTTTAAATTTTATGATTCCAGAATATGTAAAAAGAGAATTTTTAATTCCAAATAATACTTCTATTAAACTTCGTATATCCGGAGATAGAAGAAATGTTGGGAGGAAGGTTCAACATGTGGAGTGCTTGCAGTAGAAAGGGCAGAAACTCAAATCTATCACATTATGAGATAATTGAGTTTAATTACTTTGTTTTAATTTCGGACTGATCCAGGTTAATCAAAATTTCCCGATTTTGATTGGTCAAAAGTACCAGGTGACTAACAGATAATCTCATGATGTGCTCATTCTTAAACAGCCTCGTGCAACTTTTCTTTTACATTATCTTGATTTTTTATTATACAAATTGTGTTTCATTTATAATTAAAAAATGTTACCCATATTAAAATTTACCCAAATTTAATAAAAACTCATTTTTTGTTTTGGAGATAGTTTTCGCTCTTTCTACTGCAAGCACACTATATATACAATCCAAAGTATACTTTTCAATTTGATGATTTTCCAATTGAATTACCTATTAGGCGATATATCTATACAATCTGTCATGCACAGATTTATGCTCTTTGGTCTTCACAAAATCGTTTTCAATAATGAACTCGGATCACACCATACATTAATTAGAATGCTACTTGGTTATTTATTAATAATAACCAAAAAATAACAAACTATTCACATAGCTTTCAATCAGC